TAAAGTTGGGTTATGCATCATGGTGAATGTTCATGCTATCAGGGCTTGCAAAATATCGAGTTAAAAGCCGTTGTTTGGAAAGAACCTGATTGCGTGATGATATAGATGAACTGGTTTGATGCAGAAAAATTATTTCTTCAATTTCGGCTTTCATCTTCAAGCTTGTATCACGTTCAACATAAGAAGAAAAATAAATTGAATCAATAACAATATATGAATTCAATAAAATCAAGATTTAATCAATTAAAAATAATTGAAACGTAATACTCCCCTGATTGTAGACGAATAAATTCTCTTTAAATTCTTCTAAGCACAGCGTGAAGAGCGTGCTGATAACGTGTTGTGGTCTATTTTATCTGACAGAGGGACTAGGGCCGGTGGCAGAGAGAGAGAGGAGAGAGATGTGTGTTTGTAGAATTGTAGGGGAATGTGTGTGTTGTTATCCCTCCTACATTGTGCCTTTATTTATAGTAGTAAAGGGAGAGAAGATATTCCTTCTCCTCCAAGTAATACAAGTTGTAATAGGAAAGGATAACTAGAATCAAATCTTATCTAGGATTTACACAATCATACTTAAACTAGGAATGTTTACAACAGATAACACTATTTTTAATGGGATTAAGTCTACTCGGATATTTTTCTAACACAATTAATTATAGCTAGATTTGGAATCACGTGCATCAGTAAAACCTTCCAAATAAAGCCATACCCATAATGTCATCATTCTATCACCTAACACCTGGTGATACAGTAAAATATGCCCAATTGATGTTGCAGAATTTAATTACTCAGACGCTTTTGGCTGAAAATCAAAGTACGTACATCGCAATCATTTTGTGTAAAACCGATCCCATATATCTTTGTAAATGTCCTAAATTTATACATCAATCAAACTTTCCTGTTGTCATCAGATCACTTATACCAGTGTGATAGATCGGAAATTGAACTGGAGAGCAAAGCATTAGATGGCTATCTAGCTAGACAGTGTGATATGGCAATGTGGACTGCAAATTCCACCACCGCGCCTCGCCTGGCGGTTTCGTTGGGCTCGTACGGAATCCAGCGACGCCTGCCACCGCCATAGCCTTCATTATTGGCTTCGACGGTAGTCCTGATTCTAGTTTGCCTCTTACATTATTTTCTTAAAATTTGGCCCAACTCAAGAAGAAGTGATGCAAGAAGTGATGCAGGTGATTATTATGAGCCAAAGATTCTTGTTGTTACACCCACCACCACATTTTAAGTATATTTCTATTTCCTCCCTGAAATCTATTTAAATCTATCAATTTAATCCCCTATCTCATTTAATCCTAGCCGTTGATCTAGATTCCCCATCTCTCCTAAACTGCCAAGTGGCAGGTTCTCAGCTCTCTTCTCTTCCCTCTCTTCCCGAGTGTTCCCTCGCATATCTCTCTTCTCTCTCTCTCTCTCTCTCTCTCTCTCTATCACGGGAACTCTCATCTCTCCCTTTCTCTCCCTGCACCGTGACTAACCCAGCAAACCTGCGTGCAGCTCCTGCTGTAGACCATTATCATCATCATCTTCCTTGCGCCATCTCTCTCTCTCTCTCTCTCTCTCTCTCTCCGTCGCAATGAGGTTGGGGAACCCAAAGAAAGAACCTCCGACGGATCTCTCCATTCCTTCCAGCTAGGTAAGTTTGAATACCTTTTTAAATTACCATTGTTGTTGTGGGGCGTTGTGTGTTGAATTTTATGTTGTTCTTCCAAGGTTTTGAGGACGGGAACGGCACGGGGGAAACTCACCCACATTTTTCGACGAAACCGTGACCTTCAAGGATTCTTCCCGAACACTCACGGCCGTTCACGGCGAAACTAGGGTATGAAAATACTCCACTCCTTTCCCTCTGCATTTTAGTACTTGGTTTGGGTAGTGGTTTGTATGTTCGCCGTCGGCCGGAGCTATAACAGCTCCGGTGTTCTTCCCCGACACCCCACAGGCCACCAGGATTCTCAAAACACCCACGGGCCTTAGCCCTTACTTGGACCGGCCCAGTTCCCTTTTGGTTATTTGGCCTGCGGGCCGTGTCATGCATGGACTGAGTGTGTGTGTATTGGGCTCAATGAATGTGTGTGTGTGTGTTTTGGGCCGTGTATATGTGTGGTGTGTGTGTTATGTTGTGCGTGTGTGTGTTGTGTATGTGTGTCCGTGTGTGTGTGTGTGTGTGTGTGTGTGTGTACTGACGTGTGTGTGAGTATTGTGTGGGTTTGGGCTCAAGCCCAAACCACCACCCCTTTTTATTCCTAAACCTATCCAAAACCAAAACCCAATAGGTCCTAACCTTATTTAACCTAAACCTAAACCCTAATCCGGATCCAAACCCAAGACCCATTTTCCATTTCTTGAAATTCTATAATTGGGTAGTTTGATAAACTGTACATTTTTATGCTTAGGTGAAGTTGTTAGTGGGGATTTCCTTAATCCTTTTCCGCACAATTCTGCTACTACGGAATATCTGTGAGTGGATCCTTTCTAAAATTTGCATAATTTCATAGTTTAATTGCATAAATTAAATGCATGCCTTACGAGTTTATGAACTGATTTTATGTTAAGCATGTTTATTGGAATATGTTGTTTATCGTCTTGTTTTGGGGAAGAATTAATATATTGTATTTTCTGTAAAAACCATGAACTGGTAGACTATCTGATGGATGACGATAGGATGCTAGAACATGTTTTAGAAACCCCTCTTTATAGTATAGACGATGGATGACTTTATAGTATGAAGTGGTTATTTATGAGATGAGTAATTTTTTGTGCGTATCTAGTGGACACTATACTGCCTGAGGCGAGGATCTGGTGTTGGCAGATAGGCCGGGAGAAATAATCCCTAGCTACGGGCTGAGGGATATGGAGCATGCATTGGGCCGGGAGTTGGTAATCTTTGGCTACGGGCATAGAGACCACGGTGTTGGCATAGGGCAGAGAGTTATATTTATTTCAGTGAGCTTACTAGCAGTACATCGCGCTACGAAACGATCTATGATACGTTTGATATTTTGTGTTCCACGATATGTCTTTTGAGATATTTTTTTTGGCATGCTAGGTTTTCAGTAAATCTATCACTTATTATGCTAGTAGCTTTTTTTATATAAACTGTGGGGGTTAGTATCTTGATAACTGTTTTATTATTATTGTATATATGAACTTGGTCCACTCACCTTTGTTTTGCGCCCCCATTCAGGTCTTAGAAACGAGGACTACGACACGAGGCATTTCCCTACCAGTAGCAATCTATCACTCACTTGTGTGATATCTTGTAATGATCTTTCTTTTGTGATCTTGTTTTAAAACGTGTTCTGTGCACTCTAGATATTTCCTTAAACTTTGTTTATTACATTTAGATTCTAATGATTATTCATGAATATTTCCTCCTAATTATTACTCTCCTATTCAATAAATGACTTTCGTCACCCTCATGTGTCGGCCAGCACGTGCCTATCCGGGTATTCGGGGAATATCGGGGTTGGGACGTGTCACTTGTGATAATGCCTTGAGAGCAAACACCCACATACTTGGCAAAGCCCCTCCCTAGTACCACTCACCAGACTCAAAATGCATGACATGTCTTTGCTTCTTGTTCCACATGCATGATTACGTATATTTACATTTTTTACTGATATTGTTGGCAAATTGTTTTGATGGCTGTTGGTTTTGTATATAATAAGTTATTTCACGATGATGTTGTGATCTCTACAATGGGAGAGCTCTTAAATAGGCATGCTGTACCCGGTATATCAGATCTGCTCATCATTTTCATTTTCTTCGTTGATAAAACGCTTCCGTTTTCTTTCCAGCAGATTTTGTACTGTGGATGTGGTTTCATTTGTCATAAGAATGCTCTGATTCGATCCAAAAAAAGAGAAAAGTATGCTAATGGACATTCACGAAACTTCGATACCAGATGGAATTTAGGTCTAGAACAAAATCATCAAGTCGCCACAACGAAGGTCTTCCTATTTGGTTAGCTACAGCATCCGAGAAGCAAACTACCCTTTAATCATCCAGATCTAGTAGGAATATTCACCAAATTAAACCGGCCTGTACTAGTTAAAACAACGGAGATTTTGACGTTGGTAGGGTGCTAAACCTGCGGGGGAAAGTTCTAGTAAACCAATTTTAACCTCCCAAAGAGAGCGTCTTTCAGTGTTAGCGACCGTATCAAGAATAATTTCTTGCAAAGCTCTTCCATGTTTAAGCAGAAACCTCGCGAAGTCGATCACACCCTCATGATTTTCACCACCTTTAGGTGACGGAGGAAGGGACTCAACTTTTTTTATGGTATCAGAGTAGGTTGTCCCACGTGTAAAGCCAAACGACTACACCCGCTCCAAGTCACCCCGTTGTGTTATCCACGTATTAAGCTTGAAAATTTGCTGCACGTGAGGAAGCGTGTTGAGAATGAATCCTACATTTATGAGGTTATAAATAAGTTGGGTACTCCTTATATTGTAAATTGATTTTATGATGGAACCTCTCAACTTCTTCAAAGTCCCCAATTGGTGAGGAGCCAAACCATTCAAAAGCTTATAAGAGGTTGAACTATTTCCCATATTGTGAACTTTCTTCACCGAATACTAATTTTTCGTAGAAATTTTTTAGGGGAGCACAGCCTGCTAATGCATATTCTTGTATGAACACAAATTCAAGGAAAGAAAAAACAGTTCCGCCAATCAACAACAGCTAGCTCCGTGAAGATCATTTTCCTTAGCATTTGTGATAAATACGTAAGAAACAAATATTGGATTCGAATATAATTCCGAAATAGAGAGAAAGAGATGCATGTGAAAACAAGAAAACTTCTATAACAATCCATGACCAGGTGGCCAAGCAAAGTCCAAAAAAAAAAAAAAATCACTATCACTATTCATGTACAACAAAGGCAATAATTGTAAATTTAAAGCTTAGATGATAAAATTTCCTTTCTTCTTATCAGGTCACTGTGGAACTTTAAAGCTTATGCCAGCTTATAAAACCAAAGCATAGTTCATTCATTTGTCACATTTGCATTGTAAAAAAACCAGAGAGACAGCAATGAGGCCTTCAGCTGCAAACTCCACCACCGCGGCTACTGGTCACGACGCCATATTCAGAAACTGGAATTCTCCGATGCCATACCTATTTGGAGGCCTAGCACTCATGTTGGGGCTCGTTGCGGCAGCGTTGCTGATTCTTGCTTGCTCCCTTCACAAGAGCTCAAGCAGCAGCAGTAGTGATCAAGATCAGAAACCAACTAGACCAGTGGACATAGAGGCTGGAGATTCTGAATCCAAAATTCTTGTCATAATGGCTGGAGAGAAAACACCAACATACTTGGCAAACCCCATCACATGTTCTACTACTCTCTCTCATGCACCAATCTGATCATCAAAACGTCTGAGTTGAGCTTTGGTTTGGTTTTTCTAGTTTAATTCTAGTTTGTCTCCTCCTCCTACTACTACTACTGCAGGCTTGTCAGATCTTGCGGAAATTTATGTAAATTGAAGAGAGCATTATAATTGTTATACAAACAATTTTCTTCCCTTGATTTCTGTTTTATTATGAGTGTTATGATCATGGTCTCTCCTTTAGTTTTGGGATCAATCTGAAAGTGCGTTCAATTTGTTAGGCTTTAAATTTTAGCACAATTGCATGGCACCTAGGTTTGAAATTAAACTTTTCAGGCTTTTTAGCTAAAAAAATGGTCTCTAAGATTGACATAACTCCTCACTTTGGTTAATCATAATAAAAATCGATCAATATGGTCTCTAATTTTGTCCACTGTAAATCCTTTTGGTCCTTCAGTAAAAAACCGACTCTTAATTTTCTGCTGGGTTTTCTTCTTCTTTTTCATGGTATGGCATATTTGTTGAGCATGGTATATGATGATAATCATGATATGATGATGTTCAGATCTGAAAGGCAAGCAAACTAAAAGTTTGGCATATCTTGGGAAGCAATTAAACTTGAAAGTTCAGTAAAGAAAAGTTCAACCTTCCATACACAGGTGGTGATTTAACCAACTCAAATTACCTCCAAAATTACACCCTTTTAGTAGCTATTCCAACATTCACATTTGCGCAAATGAGAAGAAATTGCACATCAATTAATGTTTACGCTTCTTAATCGTACACGGCGGTGGCCAAACTATAACACTACAACAACAACAACAACAAAGCCTTTTCCCACTAAGTGGGGTCGGCTATATGAATCCTAGAACGTCATTGCGCTCAGTTTTGTGTCATGTCCTCCGTTAGATCCAAGTACTCTAAGTCTTTTCTTAGAGTCTCTTCCAAAGTTTTCCTAGGTCTTCCTCTACCCCTTCGGCCCTGAACCTCTGTCCCGTAGTCACATCTTCGAACCGGAGCGTCAGTCGGCCTTCTTTGCACATGTCCAAATCACCGGAGCTGATTTTCTCTCATCTTTCCTACAATTTCGGCTACTCCTACTTTACCTCGGATATCCTCATTCCCAATCTTATCCTTTCTCGTGTGCCCACACATCCCACACATCCCACGAAGCATCCTCATCTCCGCTACACCCATTTTGTGTACGTGTTGATGCTTCACCGCCCAACATTCTGTGCCATACAACATCGCTGGCCTTATTGCCGTCCTATAAAATTTTCCCTTGAGCTTCAGTGGCCTACGACGGTCACACAACACGCCGGATGCACTGTGGTATCTAAATTTTGATGTATATGTAGATTACTAAAGAAGAGTGTTAAAGTCTGAGGATTATTATGTGATACTAAAACACTATCACGTGATATAACCAATCTATTATGTGCTTTAGTACCACATATTAACGCTTCTTAATTGTACGCTTTATTTTCATTTTTTAGTTTTTTATACTACTTTTGTGAGAGCTGATAAAAATTGTAATATATATATATTATTTTTTTTAGTACATCGATATTTTTACATTAAGAGGGAGTTCAGCTAAGTCACACAATGGACAACTTAATTTGATATCGAATTCGTCATCCATGAGATTCGAACCTAAGACCTCTCATTTCCAAATGAAGTAATACTATCAAACCGTAGTACTTAATGACATAATTTGAATTATATATGATTAGTAACAGAAGTGTGTCAATTAGGTATTATGTGATATTGAAACTACAACTGTGATATAATAAAATGCGTTACGTTCTCAAATACCATATAATTTCGCAGCCCATGGAATTATACCTTCCACCATTTAGACTTCTAATTACAAGCTTTTCACTGTTACAGCTTTGCCAATGAATTCTAACTACCATCACTTTTTTTTTTTTTGAGCAAAACTATCACTTAAGTGATAACTATGAAGATTATGTAATTAATTAAAGCTAATTGCAAGGGTCTTATTTAATTAATTGATCAATAAGCTGACTTAATTGGAAGAAGTGTCCTACTTTGAGACCCTGCCGTCTGCAAGAGTCTTTCACCAAATCCAGCAACAACCGACTACGGTCTTTTAGTAGGCTACTTTTTCACATCATTAAACCAACTAAGTTTGACAGAAACGCAAAAGCCAAAAGGTTACTAATGGATTAGATTAACAGAGACGTGGCTTCTCGGAGTATGTAGGTCTTTTAGTAGGCTCATTTCCCTTTTAGTAGATGAGTTCATTTTTCTACTTGTAAATAAAACATCTTTATTGTAAAAATTTTAAAATTAGAATCGTTTAATGTTTTATTTTTATTTGACAATCATCTCTATAAAAAATCATTCGAATCGGATACTATTTGGACATCTAAATGTATCAAATAAATCAAGGATTCATCATGAATATATGACTTGATACTTACATCATTGGTTTATTTATTTGAAACATTTGGATGAATAAATGATGTCTGTTTTGAATGATTTTTTTGTAGAAGTGATCTTCAAATGAACATTAAAAGAGTGGACAGTTTCGATTATAAAATTTTACAATAAAAATACATTATAAGTAAGTAGAGGAATGAACTCATCCCAATGAAAAATGCAAGCATTATCCTTTGACAAATTAGTCAAAGAGGAATACAATTCCATTTTCTACGTCAACTCTAGTGGGGAGCATAGGAAATGATGAGATCCACTGGGTTTTTATATTTATAGTCACATTTCTATGAAGTTTCTTGTGAAAGTTGATAGAAATTGACCAAATCTCTCTCTCAACCAATGTTCATGGACAAGATCAAAGAAAAACCAATGCTCATGGATATTATAATATCAATTTCTTTTGATAGCGCGACAAAGTGTATGTGTAGTTGGTGTAAGAATATGAGTATGAGTATGAATCTATGAACTGGGTTATAGGATTAGAGATTGAATATGAAGTCTTGTTGAGAATGGATTTGTGAATCCATATTGTAACTGAACTACTATTTAGAAGGAATTGATTTTCTATATAGATTTTAATAGAGAAATCCTTATAGAATTAGGCTAGGATTATGTAGTATATATATGGTGGCCTCTGCTCTCGCAGTGTGTGTGCTCTATTCAAAACTAATATCTATTATTAGTTGAGAACCTTGAACACTGAAGAGAGGAGAAGGTGCACTGCAGAATTCTTGTAGAGATCAGGCATAGCTTCTGGTTCGAGTTCATCTGCAGGTATGGTTCTTCTCTGTGCTTTGATTGATGAATTATGGTTTAGTGTTTTGATTATAGTAATTCGTATTACTTCATCTTGGTTTTATGTTTAATCTAACATGTATTATCAAAGCTTAGATTATAAGTTTATGAGTTATGTGATTAAAACCGATAGGTTCAAAAAGCATAAATAATATTTAAGAAAATATACCTTTGTTGCGGGATTGGGGAGTCGAACACGGGTTCTGGCATAATGGTTTCGCAAATAATGACAAAATTTGTAGAAAATATAGCCGTTGGGTTTTAAAAGCATGTTACCGTTAGTTTTCTGCAAACCCATAGGTAAGGGGTTTCTCTCTGAATTGGGGCTTTTCGATTAAGATTATCACTCATCAAAATATGCTTTTGGGTTATGAATTCATCAACCTTGCGATTGATATGATCGATTTGAATGTTTTTTCCGCTGCGCTGTTTTAAATATGGGATTTGTGTTAGGTATGTTTAATAAAATTGCAAAGCTTTATCCTGTCTGCTTAATGTTTCGATGCATAGATTGGGTCGAAGATTTCTGCTGGGTTTTAGATATCGATAACAAAATCTATATAGATCAAATCTAATTGAAACTATTAATCAGTAATCCCAGACCATAATTGCTTGATCATGCTCGAATCTGCAAATATTTTGCGATCTGCAAATTCTAATGCATCTTTGTGTTTTCTGATTGAACAATGGATGATGGAAACCATGCATGAGACTTCTATGATGTCTGTTGTTGCATATCTTGGTATTGATAAGTCAGTTTTTCTATGTATGCTTATCAACTATACGTTGTTAAGTCTATATGTATGAATTATTGATGCAAGTTATGATGTGCAAACTGCAAAAGGAAATCAGGAACCTAACTGGTTTATGCTTGTGATTTCATCTGCAACATCTGCAATATCTCTCAAGACCTTGTACTTGGCTTATATTCCAATTCTCACTAGAGGGAGTAATTACAAGAAATGGAGGAGAGAAATCGGATTACTGTTGACAATCAATGAGTTTGATATAGCCATTGATACTCCAAGAGCAGAAAAAAAAGAGATTATCAGAAGTGGACAAGGGCAAACAAAGTTGAACTTTCAATTCCTGAAAGTGGGATGACTAATACAGTTCGAGGAGGCATCAAAAGACATGAGTTGGCTGCAGACTACTTGAAGGCAATTGAGAAAAAGTTCAACGAGACATAAAAAGCAAAGATCAGTCAATACATGTCACTTTTGACAACCTATAAGATTGACAATGCTGGTTCAATTAGGGATCACACTATGAAGATGATTAAAGTTAAACTCTATGGATGTCAACATTGGTGAAAAACAATTGGTCTTCATGATTCTGCAAGCTCTCCCAAACAAGTATTCTCAATTGAAGGTGTCCTATAACACACAAGACATGAGTTGGGATGTTGATAAGCTCATTGCATAGTGTGTTCAAGAAGAAACTCGACAAAAACAATAGATGGGCAAAGACATTGAAATGGTTAATTTTATGCAATGAGGGAAATGAAGGAAGTTCAACAATGCTGGAAATAATCCAAGTAAGAACTTTAAGCACCCGAAACCTTCTGATAAGACTGGTGTTTCTGCTAAAATATTTGAAACTTCTAAAGGATCTAACAATCTTAAACCAAAGGTTAAAAATGTTGCTAAACTTAAGTGTTTTTTTTTTTTTTTTTTGCAAAACTCGAAGTCATTTAAGAAACCAATGTGAACTTTTTAAGGACTATTTGAAAGCCAATGGAAAAGATATAGTTAATGTCTGTGTGTAAAATTTGGTTGGAGTTCCAATTGATCCATGGTGGTTTGACACTGGTTGAATAGTGCACACAACTAATTCACTACATGGTTTTGAAAAACAAAAGGATTCAAGTTTTAACTGTTATAATGTTTTTGTGGGGGAAGGAACAAAAGTGGCAGTTAAGGCTATTAGGACAGTCAAGCTA